TACTGGTGGCCAGGTGGGACAGATGGTGTGGTGGCCAGGTGGGACAGATGGTGTGGTGGCCAGGTGGGACAGATGGTGTGGTGGCCAGGTGGGACAGATGGTGTGGTGGCCAGGTGGGACAGATGGTGTGGTGGCCAGGTGGGACAGATGGTGTGTGTACTGGTGGCCAGGTGGGACAGATGGTGTGGTGGCCAGGTGGGACAGATGGTGTGTGTACTGGTGGCCAGGTGGGACAGATGGTGTGGTGGCCAGGTGGGACAGATGGTGTGGTGGCCAGGTGGGACAGATGGTGTGGTGGCCAGGTGGGACAGATGGTGTGGTGGCCAGGTGGGACAGATGGTGTGTGTACTAGTGGGGTGGACGATATAATACTATTGTAGAAAAAAATATTGCCAACAGAGGAGGAGAGAGAGGAGAGAGAGAGAGAGAGAGAGAGAGGTGTGGTGGCCAGGAGAGAGAGAGAGAGAGATGGGGAGAGAGAGAGAGAGAGAGATGGTGAGAGAGAGAGAGAGAGAGAGAGAGAGAGAGGAGAGAGAGAGGTGGGACAGAGAGAAGAGAGAGAGAGAGAGAGGAGAGAGAGAGAGAGAGAGAGAGAGAGAGAGAGAGAGAGAGAGAGAGAGAGAGAGAGAGAGAGAGAGAGAGAGAGAGAGAGAGAGAGAGAGAGAGAGAGAGAGAGAGAGAGAGAGAAGCAGAAATAAAGAGAGAGAGAGGGGGGACAGGGGGATGAAGCAGAGTAGAAAAACATTGAAATCCCGCTGGTGTCTCGCGCCAGAGAGTGTGGGGCCACCATTGGACGCCGCACAAAAGATCACTATCACTAAAATACCGAGAGCCATTTCGGCAGCTGGTCTGGCCCCGTCTGGCCACGATAAGTCCAGTTTATGGCCCCATACACAGTGTGTGTGGCCACACTCGTCCTGGTGTACGGGGGCGGGACGCACACACTCGTCCTGGTGTACGGGGGCGGGACGCACACACTCGTCCTGGTGTACGGGGGCGGGACGCACACACTCGTCCTGGTGTACGGGGGCGGGACGCACACACTCCATACACCAATACACATTTGTTCTGTCTGACCTAAATGCTTCCGTGTGCGTCGCTAGTCTGGAAATCCTTGTAGTATATATAGTGCTTATCTAGGTCTCTATAATAGAATGTGTGTCCCAGTGGTACTTTTAAAGAAATATCGGCTCCTGTAGCGCCCCCTGCGATTTTCATGAAACGTGAAATATGGGATTTGTTTCCGTAGAGTTTGTGTAGTTTTCAGCACATCACAATATTGAATTTCTAGCAGAGAGCAGGGGGGGGGGGGAGGTTGAGATGGTAGGATACTGGGGGGGGGTAAGGGTGAAAATAGGGAGAAAGGGAAAGGGGGGGGGACCTAGGCACAACCGGGTATACCCACTCTAGTATACTATATGAGGTACTTGACATCATCCTGGTTTACAACAAGGGCCACATCATTTCACACGACTTTTAGCATTTTGGCATCTTCCCTTCCCGCTCCAAGCAACAGCCTGGTGGACCAAGCTCTCACAAGTCAAGCCTGACCTCGGGCCGGACTTGGGGAGAAGAAGAACTTCCAGAACTCCATCAAGCGGGTATAAGGCCGACCTCACCCTCCAAAGCCTCCTAAGCTCCCCCTTCAATCCCATTATCGGTGGTTACACCTTCAGTCACTTTCACTCAGTTTACATTTTCACCAAACATCTTCTCCGTCATTGTTATATTGTTCTCTCTCATTGTAACATTCTCAGTAGTCCAGCCGACCCTCCAGGGTGCCCCCAGAACCCAATACTCTTGGTGGAAAACGTATGGAGGACCTCTGGGGCTTCCCATAGATCTTTACGTGTTTTCAATCCGTTTTCTGTTCTGAAGGTAGACGATCAAGTCATGGGAGACTGATGCAAAAGCTTCGAGCGAAGCTATTGTTGTGGCCATATTAAACTTGTCTCTAAATGTAAGACAGAGGAGCTGGGACGCCATATATAGCCTATTATCTTTTTGGGTTAAATAGGGAAGCCATGCAAAGTTTGGTTGAAATAAATCCAGTGGCGTATGAATTTACATTGACGGAATTAGCAAAATCCAGGGTCTGTGGAAAGCTTCCAGAACCCAGGGTCTATGAGAACCTTCTAGAACCCCAGGGTCTATGAGAACCTTCCAGAACCTGGGTCTGTGAGAACCTTCCAGAACCCAGGGTCTATGAGAACCTTCCAGAACCCGAGGGTCTGTGAGAACCTTCCAGAACCCAGGGTCTATGGGAACCTTCCAGAACCCCAGGGTCTATGAGAACCTTCCAGAACCCGGGGTCTGTGAGAACCTTCCAGAACCCCAGGGTCTATGAGAACCTTCCAGAACCCGGGGTCTATGAGAACCTTCCAGAACCTGGGTCTGTGAGAACCTTCCAGAACCTGGGTCTGTGAGAAGCTTCCAGAACCCAGGGTCTATGAGAACCTTCCAGAACCCCAGGGTCTATGAGAACCTAGAACCCAAGGTCTGAGAACCTTCCAGAACCCCAGGGTCTATGAGAACCTTCCAGAACCTGGGTCTGTGAGAACCTTCCAGAACCCAGGGTCTATGGGAACCTTCCAGAACCCCAGGGTCTATGAGAACCTTCCAGAACCCGGGGTCTGTGAGAACCTTCCAGAACCCAGGGTCTATGAGAACCTTCTAGAACCCCAGGATCTATGAGAACCTTCTAGAACCCCAGGGTCTATGAGAACCTTCCAGAACCCAGGGTCTGTGAGAACCTTCCAGAACCTGGGTCTGTGAGAACCTTCCAGAACCCAGGGTCTATGAGAACCTTCCAGAACCCCAGGGTCTATGAGAACCTAGAACCCAGGGTCTATGAGAACCTTCCAGAACCCAGGGTCTATGAGAACCTTCCAGAACCACAGGGTCTATGAGAAGCTTCCAGAACCCAGGGTCTATGAGAAGCTTCCAGAAGCCAGGGTCTGTGAGAACCTTCCAGAACCCAGGGTCTATGAGAAGCTTCCAGAACCCAGGGTCTATGAGAACCTTCCAGAACCCCAGTGGTCTATGAGAAGCTTCCAGAACCCAGGGTCTATGAGAACCTTCTAGAACCCCAGGATCTATGAGAACCTTCTAGAACCCCAGGGTCTATGAGAACCTTCCAGAACCCAGGGTCTATGGAAACCTTCCAGAACCCAGGGTGTATGAGAACCTTCCAGAACCCCAGGGTCTATGAGAACCTTCCAGAACCCCAGGATCTATGAGAACCTTCTAGAACCCCAGGGTCTATGAGAACCTTCCAGAACCCAGGGTCTATGGAAACCTTCCAGAACCCAGGGTCTATGAGAACCTTCCAGAACCCCAGGGTCTATGAGAACCTTCCAGAACCCAGGGTCTATAGAAACCTTCCAGAACCCAGGGTTTGTGAGAACCTTCCAGAACCCAGGGTCTATAAAAACCTTCCAGAACCCAGGGTCTATGAGAACCTTCCAGAATCCAGGGTCTGTGAGAACCTTCCAGAACCCCAGGGTCTGTGAGAACCTTCCAGAACCCAGGGTCTATGAGAACCTTCCAGAACCTAGTGTCTGTGAGAACCTTCCAGAACCCGGGGTCTGTGAGAACCTTCCAGAACCCAGGGTCTGTGAGAACCTTCCAGAACCCAGGGTTTGTGAGAACCTTCCAGAACCCAGGGTCTGTGAGAACCTTCCAGAACCCAGGATCTGTGAGAACCTTCCAGAACCCAGGGTCTATGAGAACCTTCCAGAACCCGGGGTCTGTGAGAACCTTCCAGAACCCGGGGTCTGTGAGAACCTTCCAGAACCCGGGGTCTGTGAGAACCTTCCAGAACCCAGGGTCTGTGAGAACCTTCCAGAACCCAGGGTCTATGAGAACCTTCCAGAACTCAGGGTCTATGAGAACCTAGAACCCAGGGTCTATGAGAACCTTCCAGAACCCAGGGTCTGTGAGAACCTTCCAGAACCCAGGGTCTGTGAGAACCTTCCAGAACCCAGGGTCTATGAGAACCTTCCAGAACCCAGGGTCTATGAGAACCTTCCAGAACCCCACGGTCTGTAGAAACCTTCCAGAACCCAGGGTCTGTGAGAACCTTCCAGAACCCGGGGTCTATGAGAACCTTCCAGAACCCAGGGTCTGTAGAAACCTTCCAGAACCCAGGGTCTGTAGAAACCTTCCAGAACCTGGGGTCTATGAGAACCTTCCAGAACCCAGGGTCTATGAGAACCTTCCAGAACCCAGGGTCTATGAGAACCTTCCAGAACCCAGGGTTATCTTGAGGTTATCCATACCAGGCCTCCACCCCCAGGAAGCAGCCCGTGACAGCTGACTAACACCCAGGTACCTATTTTACTGCTAGGTAACAGGGGCATAGGGTGAAAGAAACTCTGCCCATTGTTTCTCGCCGGCGCCTGGGATTGAACCCAAGACCACAGGATCACAAGTACAGCGTCCTGTCCGCTCGGCCGACCGGCTCCCAGGGTCACTTCGTTCTCCAGAGACCCTGGGTTCTTGTAGTTTAATTCTCTCTCCAGAACCAATTCTGGGTTCAATTCGGTCTCCAGAACCATGTTTCTCCAGAACCGTTAAACTCTGTCAACTGAGAAGGCTATTAGGACCGTAAATGGGAAGGAACTGGAAGAGATACATACATTAAGAATGTGGAAAGGCAGCCAAAGGAACTTTGAATTCAAATTATGTTAAATTTGAATGCTGGAAATAGTCTTAAATGAAACATGGTATTGGATTTAAACGCAGAACAGTCCAATGCAAGAAATTCAACTGTGCTAAGTGGCAATCTACTGCATATTAGTTTACTTAGTATCCAGAGACGTTGTATTCGATTTTAGTCATTAAAATACAGTATATTTTATGTTTATGGGGATTATGTTCCCATAAACAGTGGTCAGGTGCTTGGTAATCCGGCCGACAATGTGGTTATGAATGAAAAACTCTTCATAAATGACTCTGATTACGTTCAAACTTTTCTCGTACATTGATTTGCTGTCTGCATGTGTCCGAACTGCGGCCTCCGACCCGCGGCCTCCGAACCGCGGCTTCCGAACCGCGGCTTCCGAACTGTGGCTTCCGACCCGCGGCTTCCGAACCGCGGCTTCCGAACCGCGGCTTCCGACCCGCGGCCTCCGAACCGCGGCTTCCGAACCGCGGCTTCCGAACCGCGGCTTCCGAACCGCGGCCTCCGAACCGCGGCCTCCGAACCGCGGCCTCCGAACCGCGGCTTCCGAACCGCGGCCTCCGACCCGCGGCCTCCGAATCGCGGCCTCCGAACCGCGGCCTCCGAACCGCGGCCTCCGAACCGCGGCCTCCGAACCGCGGCCTCCGAACCGCGGCTTCCGAACCGCGGCTTCCGAACCGCGGCTTCCGACCCGCGGCCTCCGAACCGCGGCCTCCGAACCGCGGCCTCCGAACCGCGGCCTCCGACCCGCGGCCTCCGACCCGCGGCCTCCGACCCGCGGCCTCCGACCCGCGGCCTCCGACCCGCGGCCTCCGACCCGCGGCTTCCGAACCGCGGCCTCCGAACCGCGGCTTCCGACCCGCGACCTCCGAACCGCGGCCTCCGAACCGCGGCCTCCGAACCGCGGCCTCCGAACCGCGGCCTCCGAACCGCGGCCTCCGAACCGCGGCCTCCGAACCGCGGCTTCCGAACCGCGGCCTCCGACCCGCGGCCTCCGAACCGCGGCCTCCGAACCGCGGCCTCCGACCCGCGGCCTCCGAACCGCGGCCTCCGACCCGCGGCCTCCGACCCGCGGCCTCCGAACCGCGGCCTCCGAACCGCGGCCTCCGAACCGCGGCTTCCGACCCGCGACCTCCGAACCGCGGCCTCCGAACCGCGGCCTCCGAATCGCGGCCTCCGAACCGCGGCCTCCGAACCGCGGCCTCCGAACCGCGGCCTCTGACCCGCGGCCTCCGAACCGCGGCCTCCGAACCGCGGCCTCCGAACCGCGGCTTCCGAACCGCGGCCTCCGACCCGCGGCTTCCGAACCGCGGCCTCCGAACCGCGGCCTCCGACCCGCGGCCTCCGAACCGCGGCTTCCGAACCGCGGCCTCCGACCCGCGGCCTCCGAACCGCGACCTCCGAACCGCGACCTCCGAACCGCGGCCTCCGAACCGCGACCTCCGAACCGCGACCTCCGAACCGCGACCTCCGAACCGCGGCCTCCGACCCGCGGCCTCCGACCCGCGGCCTCCGAACCGCGACCTCCGAACCGCGACCTCCGAACCGCGGCTTCCGACCCGCGGCCTCCGAACCGCGGCCTCCGAACCGCGGCCTCCGAACCGCGGCGTCGAACTATAACTGTCTTCAAAAGCTATTTACCACCCAGCAGGTAAACAAGAGCCACGTGACCTAGGAGGAGGGTGGAGGCCAGACGCCTGGGGCTAGCCTCACACAACTCTCACACACATTGCATGTGCGTGAGGGGCGTATCATAGACCAGTTGGGGTCGGCTCCACTGCCACACTCTTAGAAATATCGGCACCTAATCAATACCCTCAGTGCGATTTTGTCACTCGACTAAAGATGTTATCGTTCAGTTATCATATCCTGGCCTTCGTGGCCCAGCAAACTGACTTTTGATGGTGTGAACATGTCACCATGTCCTTGCCTGGGCGTGAATTTGTGTCATCATTTGGCTTCATTCGGGTGTGTTGAGGAGGCATCCATGACAGCTTGAGCGATCAGTGGAGTCAGACAGCTAGAGCACCGCCCCGCCCCGCCCCGCCCCATGTTGCTGTGACCGCCCTCAGACAACCCAACCATCCAATTGGCCCGTTAATTAATATTGCCCCTGGAGGCTAGTCTGCTCGGAGGAGTAGAAGCAAGTACAGGAGAGGTGTTGGTGGTGGAGGGTAGTGGTGGTGGAGGGTGGTGGTGGTAGAGGGTAGTGGTGGAGTGTAGTGGTAGTGGTGGTGGAGGGTGTTGGTGGTGGAGGGTAGTGGTGGTGGAGGGTAGTGGTGGTGGAGGAGTAGTGGTGGTGGTGGAGTAGTGATGGTGGTGGAGTAGTGGTGGTGGAGGGTAGTGGTGGTGTAGTGGTGGTGGTGTAGTGGTGGTGGTGGAGGGTGGTGATGGTGGAGGAGTAGTGGTGGTGGTGGAGTAGTGGTGGTGGAGGGTAGTGGTGGTGGAGGGTAGTGGTGGTGTAGTGGTGGTGGTGGAGGGTAGTGGTAGTGGTGGTGTAGTGGTGGTGGTGGAGGGTAGTGGTGGTAGAAACTGCTCACACACAAAAAAAATACCAAATTTCAGGATAATTTGAACTTTTAAAATGCGATTAAAACTGTTTTTTTCAAAACAATTGATGGAGCCCATTAGCCAAAATCATTCCTTTTTTAATTACCTGAGATCAGGTAGAATAATGGAAGCGTCCTTGTTAAACACTAGTCACTAATGACTTTGAATCAGAGCCTAGCGTTAAGTAGTCACATGTGTGACTCTTCCCTAAGTCAAAAAAAAGACAGAGTAGTGTGACTTTGAATTAGTCATATGTGTGAGGTTGACACTACACATGTGACTTTTCTTTCGCTAGGAAATATAGACAGTATGAATGTCTGATGTGTGAAATGATGGCCCGATATTAGTCAGGTGTGTAAGGTATAGTCAGCCACAAAGCTAGATGTCTGAAGGTACAAGACAGAGTCAGCTATGGGAGCAAGTACTATAGCCACCTGTGTAGAGGGCCAGTCCCCACCTAGAGCCACATGTGTGGAGGGCCAGCCCCCACCTAGAGCCACCTGTGTGGAGGGCCAGTCCCCACCTAGAGCCACATGTGTGGAGGGCCAGCCCCCACCTAGAGCCACCTGTGTGGAGGGCCAGCCCCCACCTAGAGCCACCTGTGTGGAGTGCCAGCCCTCACCTAGAGCCACCTGTGTGGAGGGCCAGCCCCCACCAAGAGCCACCTGTGTGGAGGGCCAGTCCCCACCTAGAGCCACATGTGTGGAGGGCCAGTCCCCACCTAGAGCCACATGTGTGGAGGGCCAGTCCCCACCTAGAGCCACATGTGTGGAGGGCCAGTCCCCACCTAGAGCCACATGTGTGGAGGGCCAGTCCCCACCTAGAGCCACATGTGTGGAGGGCCAGCCCCCACCTAGAGCCATCAGTGTGGAGGGCCAGCCCCCACCTAGAGCCACCTGTGTGGAGGGCCAGCCCCCACCTAGAGCCACATGTGTGGAGGGCCAGTCCCCACCTAGAGCCACCTGTGTGAGGGCCAGCCCCCACCTAGAGCCACATGTGTGGAGGGCCAGTCCCCACCTAGAGCCACATGTGTGGAGGGCCAGCCCCCACCTAGAGCCACATGTGTGGAGGGCCAGCCCCCACCTAGAGCCACATGTGTGGAGGGCCAGCCCCCACCTAGAGCCACATGTGTGGAGGGCCAGCCCCCACCTAGAGCCACATGTGTGGAGGGCCAGCCCCCACCTAGAGCCATCAGTGTGGAGGGCCAGCCCCCACCTAGAGCCATCAGTGTGGAGGGCCAGCCCCCACCTAGAGCCACCTGTGTGGAGGGCCAGCCCCCACCTAGAGCCACCTGTGTGGAGGGCCAGCCCCCACCTAGAGCCACCTGTGTGGAGGGCCAGCCCCCACCTAGAGCCACCTGTGTGAGGGCCAGCCCCCACCTAGAGCCATCAGTGTGGAGGGCCAGCCCCTACCTAGAGCCACCTGTGTGGAGGACCAGTCCCCACCTAGAGCCACCTGTGTGGAGGGCCAGCCCCCACCTAGAGCCATCAGTGTGGAGGGCCAGTCCCCACCTAGAGCCACCTGTGTGGAGGGCCAGCCCCCACCTAGAGCCATCAGTGTGGAGGGCCAGTCCCCACCTAGAGCCACCTGTGTGGAGGGCCAGCCCCCACCTAGAGCCACCTGTGTGGAGGGCCAGCCCCCACCTAGAGCCATCAGTGTGGAGGGCCAGCCCCCACCTAGAGCCACCTGTGTGGAGGGCCAGCCCCCACCTAGAGCCATCAGTGTGGAGGGCCAGTCCCCACCTAGAGCCATCAGTGTGGAGGGCCAGCCCCCACCTAGAGCCACATGTGTGGAGGGCCAGCCCCCACCTAGAGCCACCTGTGTGAGGGCGCGACAGAACTAGAGCCACCTGTAGAGCGCCGGGTGCACCATCCCCTTTAGCGATCGATGTTCTGGTGGCCCACGAGGATCTTGTTAATTCGTGCGTCGGTTTTGGGGGCTGCCGTGACTGAAGACAGACTGTAGCCATGTGGGGGCCACGCCGGGCCATGCCGGGCCATGCCGGGCCACGTGGGGTCATGTGGGACCATGTGGGACCATGTGGGACCACGTGGGGCCACGCGGGACCACGCGGGACCATGGAACCTCCACTTCCGTCGGAACGAAATTTAGAAAGTCGAGAGGGTCGTCTCTATGGCTGGTCCCAGGGCTGAGAGAACTCAACAACCACCACAACAACCACCACAACAACCACTCAACCACCACCACGACAACCACAACCAAATAACTACATAGTGTCATGAGAGACATACCTAGGCTACCTCCAGAGAGACCGGTAGGCCAGTGAATTCAAAATGAAAAGGAGAAGAGAGTCTGGACCAATCACCGCCTGAGGAGACGGTGACGTCACGCCGACGCGACGCCCGCGGGCGGGAAATCGTCGCTCCAGGAATCGACAGCGGCCGGATGCTGCTCCTGTCTGATAACCGGATTTGCCAAGATACCGGATACCACCGTCCAGCAGACAGGGACTGGTTGATACCACCGTCCAGCAGACAGGGACTGGAGGACACCACCGACCAGTGACAGAAGGGGGACCAAGAGTGAGTTTCCTAAGAGTCTGCGAGTGAGGTGGGGCCCAGAGATGAGTAACAGGGCGTGTGGTTGGTAGGCGCGTCCATGGGAGGTTGCCCGAGTGACAAAATATATATATAGATATAGATATTATCACAGGTAAATTGATTAGTGGAGGGAGACCCGAAGCTTAGTTCGGCGGCTGCGCGAGATTAACCGAACGACTGACTCACGGCGCAGGTGTTGCCAGGCGTCGCCAGACAGATGAGATGCAGTTATAAAGTTCCCAACACGAAGATACAATTTAGTGGAACTGGATTATCCTTAGCTGGTGTGGGTTATATATGAATATAATCGCATGATAAACAACTCCAAGACCACGTAGCAGATAGTCTAGACTAGCGGCACTGTTATGTTAACGGGAGTAAATGTATTTGTGCATTACCAATTATTACAGAAGAGTTGACTATTTCCAGATAGGATATGTGTGTAAATCACGGAGAAATTAACACGTAATGAATACTGTGATAGTGTCAGACCACGAAGGAAGGATTAGGACAGGAATTTCCTTAAATACTTTCGTATTTACTAATACATCTTCATAAGGATGGTTCATGACTCATGAAAATCTCCCCAGACACCAAACAGATCGCCTTGAAGGAGACCAACGTCGTCTATGCCTTCACATGCCCGCTTGGGGACTGTCAGCCCCAAAGATCTCAGTATATAGGCAAGACAACAACGTCTCTTTCTAGACGAATAACAATGCACAAACAACAGGGCTCCTTCAAGGAACATATAACCTCTTCTCACAACCAGACTATCACCAGAGAAATCTTAATTAACAAGCAACACAGAAATCATCGATAAATACAGCGATAGCAGGAGACTCGACATCAGCGAGGCACTACACATTAAAAAGTCAACACCAGCAATCAACAGCCAATTAATGCACAATTATATTCTACCCACTTCAAGACCCCGAACCAACATGGAAGCAGCAAGAGGAAGTATGGGTCAATAGGCCTTCTGCAGTTACTTCCATTCTTATGTTTTCATATCCAATTTATACCCATTGATTCGTGTTCTGGCTTGTGTTTGTCACCTCACCCAAAATTTTTGTGCCATATCACCTCATCCAAAACGAGTATAAGTATG